ATAATTAATGTTTCTATTATGTGCCCACCCAATTTCATTGCTGAGGCAATCAAAGGTGCTTGCATATTCACTAAAATGCTTGCATATTCATATTCACTAAAGATCCTCACGATTGCAGAAAGAACGATTTGGCGATCGACTGAGTTTCGAAAACGGTGTAATGACAATAAAGGATTTGAAAGAAGAGGATGCCGCAGACTTTTACTACCGCATTGGCGAGTATCCACACGTACTGAATATTTTGTTGTAAGCACTGTGTCTTTGTGATTGCCTTGACTCAGAGTTATTATGCTTAGTGCTTCAGCGTGTTACTTCTTTTTGCTCATGTTACTGTATCACCAAATATGTCATGTTACTGAATCCATTAGTATTTCAACGGCCTTCACATATCGCAATAATATTCTTTTTCCAGGAATTTTCAGGCAAGGCTCAAGTATAATTCTGAGAAATTCCCTTTGAAAGCGAGGCAGCGCGTCCTAAAAAAATTGATATTTTTATTTTTACTTTGATACGAGAACAGATATGTTGCGTTCGACAAGACTTTCTGAATTTCAGTCGTTCACTTTAAAGAACGCTTTATGGTTTTCTGAACTGCTCTGCCTGTCAGCTTTTTCAGTCTGCTTACGATAAATTATTCATCACCTGACTCACTTCAGTTGCTTTCTTTCTGCTCCCGAACACAACGAGGGTGGAGTCGCACTCTTCCCTTACAGACTATTTTATGCTTTCAAAGCGCAACGAGCCAGCTTGCTGTTTAGACTTGCATGAAGAATGTTTTCACTAAATGAAATTATAAAGCGTTTGCACAGGAACATGCCAATAATTTGATATCATGCATATAAAATGCAAAAAAAAAAAAATAATTGACCAACGCACGGGCTGCCCGTGCGAAGATGCGTTTTTTGCAGAGTTCCCCGCAATTTTTGTCGCTACAGGCATCGGTTTTTCCGGCAAATGCTTCAAGTTAAACAAATTAAGACTGGCTGCCAGAACTGGCAGGAAAAATCCCCTTAATATTTTAGCTTTCTAGTTTTTCTGGCTCCTGAGTTAGCAACTTACTGGAAAAAAGTTTCACGGACATACCCGATGTCTGGGTTTGAGCCCGTTGAGACTTACTTGGACGGGGAATATCTT